CTTTTTACCAGACAGCACTGGCTTCATTTTAACTCACAAAATCTAATATCAACACATCCCTGAAATCGCTTTTCCTTCCTTCCACCTTCAGCTCTCTCACCTGCACCAGTGTCATATGTGAGCCCAGGGCCAGCAGGACCTTCTCCGTCTTGGTGGGGTAAGGGTTGTCCCGGTGTTTGTACAGCCAATGTTTCAGTGGCCGGGCCATGTCCTGCAGCACCTGTCTCTTGTGGCGAACTTTGACCCCACCCAGACGAGACCTGGAGGAATCAGAAGGTGTCTAATAGATTAGGGCCACCCACAATCCCCTCTATAACATTTATACATGGAACAGTATGCTGAATTATTTCTGTCTGTAACTGTAAGGTGTGAAGAACTGCAAACAACTATTGAACTATGTATGTAATGCCTTTACATAATGCATGACATGACATAATGTAAGGTTATAGCATTATCTTATTTTATATGATTTTGAAATACTGTTTTTTAAGTCTAGGTGCCTTAAGATACAGTACATACAAAATACATATACAAATGCAATACAAAATACAACCTTGTTTAACTCTTCATCGTGCCATGAAAACTAATTTTCCAACTCAGACAAAAAGGGCGTACCCATATCTTTTGTACTTGATAGGAGAGCTGTTTTCAGTGGTGTCCTGGCATCGCAGCAGGTCTGTGTTGTCCCCATCTGTTAAACTGCTCTGAGGTAAGTCTACACAGTCCAGTCTGCTCCTCTCTTCTACTCTCCTGTTGTCCTCCAAATGAAGAAGAGTGTCAGACTTCATCACCGCAACTTTGTTCATTGTTAAACACAGAGTTTTCCCTCAATCAACAGGTGCATCAGTAGACTTCCAGATGTAAATAGAAGCAGCAGGTTCCCATCCTGGACACACTTGATGTAAAGGGAATTTTAAAAAGGGTTCAAAAAAATGTTCCTTGCTCTTCTTCCTGTGCTCACAGTAGCAGGGACTGAGCAGTCCTGATGGTGACAGACTCTTGTGAGAGAATAATGTTTGAAAAGTCAGAGATGTTGTCTGGTTTAGTTGAGCTGTGTGAGGAGAGTTCAAATAACCTGCTGCTCCACCGCCTATTGGCTCTCTCGACATCCAATCACTTCTCTGGAGAGCTCTGTGAGGAAAAGCTTGCAGAGCAGCAGCCCCAGTAGCACCCCAGCATATGAAAAATATTGCACATGTAAGAATATCGGCAAATGCGGTCATTAGATTTACTAGTGAGATTTTTTTCTGGTGTGACTGCAGCCTGTGCTAAGCAGTCCGACATGCTCTCATATTTTCTACATGAGGCATAAGAATCTCTCGCGGTTTTACCAAAAATCGTGTCAGCAAATAATACATGTTTCACCAGGGGATTCTGGAAATTTATGGGGTGTAATTACACAGTTGCTAATAACCAGCAAAACCACCAAACTGTGCCGTGTGTTAGGCAGTGGATCCTGCTGAGTAGAAATGGATTTCAGTACAAATTGGCTCATAATGAAGTCAACACAAACACTGGAAAATGAAACTGATCCCTGCCTATATGATCCCGAGCCAGTGTTGCACATAATAGTTGACAGATTTTTGAGTGAGAAAGTGTGTTAGAATGTGCATTTGAGTGACAGAATTGTGCATCTCTTACACTGTCTGCAGTGTGCGCTGGGATAATCACCCATAATGCTCATGTTTGTTTATGTTTGTCTCCATTTTGGAGCAACAGGGACTGTGAACACTTATAAAGACTGTGTCTGACAGAAGCTTAGTGTTGTCATTATTGTAACTATATGACAACATGTGGGCACTGGGCCCATTTGAAGACTCAGTGATTAAACTTTAGCTGTCACCCTTGTATGTTTTTCCTCTTGATATCCACAACACTCTTATGTAAGAATGTTTGGATCTACAGTCATGACTTTGCCATGCACAATCATAACTTAATAATCTTTAAGCAAACGTGTGATAAAATGCGTTTTTTCCTGCCTAATGGTGAAACTTTTTAAGGTTATGGCTAAAATCCGAGCAGCACTTGTTCAACCGTTAAACACATTAAAGGACTCCATAACTCGTCCCTGTTCATCATTCAGCAGTATCAGTGGGGAGGTTGAGTTTCAATGGTTTCAGAGCTGAAAAACACATGGAGCAGTAGCATCCCCGTTAGGTGCAGTAAATTCCTCGCTCACATTCCTCAGCAGTGGTCGGAGAATGCTACATGCTATCACACACCATTTACTCTTGTCCCTCTGTGATATGTTCACCGTCTCAACTGTTGATATTAGCTGAGAACACACCTACATTCGTCAGCCAGGAGACCTGTAAAAAACACTGTGGGAGGACATATATCTCTTTTTGTTTGGATAGTTTGGCACTTGTGTGTGTGTGTGTGTAGGTGTGTATCTAGCAGGTTCCCAAATTCCAGGCCTATCCAAAGTGCCAAAAATCTTGTAAAATGTGTGTTGGAGAAACTGATTGTATCCTCAAATATCCTGAACATTTACCAGATTCCTTGCATCATTTCTAATTCAGTAGAATAGAAGTGAGGATTATTGATCATACTTGCCGAATGTTTTTCATGCTGTTACATGTTGCTGCTGTACGTACTAAGACTTTGTTACTTTTGCCACACAGTTGGTTGCTTTAAAGGTGCACAACAATGGATCAAATGACTGCGTGAGAGGTGTTGTAGTGACTGTGGTATCTGAAGGCTTATACATTTAAATTACATTCTGTTATAAGTTCAAATGATATATGTCAACATATGTAGTGTTAGTAGTACATGAGGTTAACGGACTAATTCTTACTATGGAATGTTTATGGCTTTACAATAGCCTCTGGCCTCAACTGTTTATGGCTTAATCCTTTACCGTTTGTGGTTGAAGGGCCTTTGACCTTTACTTGATAACCCCCACCTCCCCTTATCACCTTAAACATGGATTGGAATTAAACGTTTCTTTTGACCTTTGAAGTAACTGACCTATATAAATCTGTGTTCAAGGTGAATTAGACAGAGCTGTTCATTTGGCTGGATGCTCTCCAAGCTCCCGCGGTGCTTGTATTGATGCTGAACTTTTTTGTAATAAACCTCTTTATATACAATCAAGACGGTGTCAGCAGACTTCTCTTCAACACATCTTCACATCATGGCTACCTAATATACAACATGACAAACCCACAGATAATTACTTTGACAGCTCTTATAATTTCCATACGCAGCTGTTTTTAAGCAAAAAAAGCTCTGATAAACCTACTGTATACTACCTAAACTGCACCAAACAACCAGCTGGTGAACATAACATCAGAGAATCATATATTTGACTCAGGAGTCAGTGTAGACAAAAAAACAGAGCTAGAAGGAAAGTGAATATTATATACATCAGGTAAAAAAACATTTCAAAAGAGTTCTAATGTTACTCCATGTCTAGATGGATGGACAATTGTCAACATGTTCAATATAATAATAAAAAAATGGCAATGTTGTGTTTATTGCTTTGTGCTGCCCCAAGTGGCCAAAAGAAAATCCATTAATGTGAGACATAAAGACATCATCACAGCTGACAGCGAATCGACCACAAGCAGAAAACATGTCTTCTGGTGAGGTCAGGTACGTGTGTTCACTTCTTGTTTTACTTTTGTAATAAAATCAGTGAAATGTTTCTCTCTTGCTTGCTAGCTTGAAGTATAACAGTTAAAAGTTAAACTAGATATGTCACAGACAACTGTGTCATAAAGCCAATGAGCTGAGTGGGCAATGTTAGTTCTACAGCAATCCCAAGTTTGCTAACATTAACTAAATTTAGCCACCATAAAAGTTCCTGGTGACACCAGACCAAGTAAGGCTGATAAAACCCATTTGTTTTATTGCTTATGAATTAAACTTTCTATTTGTAAGAGGAAGATTGTGTTATTCCTCTAAAGCTGCATAGTCTGGCTTTAATGCATCAGCATTAGCAAACAGGAATCAGTTGACGATTCGTTCAATTTATAGTACTCTGTAATGAACTAAAAACCTTTTCCCCTTCCTGCTTTAGGTTTGTATAATTAACCCCAAAATACTTTCAGCATATATCTTACTATGTTGGTTGTTTAAAAGTTATGAATATCTCATGCAGAGGTGAAGATATTGTTTCCCATCAGTCATATTTATTTTTACATACTTCGAATAGACAGTTACATGATTGAGCCAAATTATCCAAGACCAACTGACATCATAGTTCTGTGTAATGTTTGAAGTGGGAGCTGTAGCGAACATTAAACGGTGGGTTTTCATTGGATCACTCCGGTGTCTTAAATGGCATCGTTATGATCTCAGAGGGTGCCTGCAGATTCTCAGTGGTGTTATGAAATTATACTGCCACGCTTTGGCTGAAGTCGTGCTTCAGGCCTGGCAGAAGTGTGACTGTTGTCCTGACAGTCTGGTTTGTGTGTTTTGGTGATCAGGAGACATGTAAACACACCAATGAGTGCATCTGCACTCATCCATTTGCCCCACTGTCTTCTTTGTGTTCTCAGTTTTGTTTGACACCAAGCCTGCCAGAGTAAAATAAATACCTGAAACTAAAAGGCATGCTCTTTATCCCTGCAGCACAATTCACCATGTAGAGCCTCACTGTGCTTTTACAGTATGCTTTTATGTGTGGTCGTAACTTTATCTCTGTACGTCTACGAAGGCCCAAGTCCCATGAAAGCCATTATGGACTCCCCACATCATGCAGCTCCCTCTTCCTCCCAAACACGACATGATAGACACATTAACACTCCTTCACACCCAATTGAGCACAGCATCCAAAAAGAGGAAGGAAACACCATGAATATAGAGGAATGCAGCCATTAAAAAGAATTAGATTAAGCAGCTTGGGTGAATGAGAACAGTGGAATCTGCAGCCGACAGGCAGCTGTGATGCTCAAACATGAGTATATATTAACAGGGTGTCACTAATGGTGGGTTTCTGCCGATTATTTTTAATTGGCTCAGTATGTTTTTGTATAAAAAAAAAGACTTCATAATTAATGGCCCATAATGGAGTTTATTGTCAGCGTAGGGTGCTTAAAAATACACAAATTCAAGCCTTAAAAATATTCATGTTTCAACAGTGACTATTACAATAATTCTAGAAAGTCCTCATCTACAATATGTGCACAATTCTGAAACTTACAGCCATACAACAGGTTTTCCTACTTCTTCATCTACAGTCTAATTGTTATCTTGTTTGTGTCCCTATTTTGTACAGCATGTTGTTGGCAAAATGTCTCCCTGACTGCTACTAATAATATTTCTCTGGTGTACATTACAGTTAATTGAAGTGCAGCAGCTGTCAGAATAATTACATGCTGATGTTTGCGACTTGGCAGGGAAAGATTACACTCAGCCACAAGCTCTGGAGAGTTTTTCTTTATTTTTTCGTCTTCTTCTTCTGTGTCCTGCGAGCCGACGTTTTTTCAGCCAAATGCCAACAGAAAAACTGGCTCTGAGACAGACAGAGGGAGAGAGAGAGATGGATTCTGTTTGCCTAATTAGATACACACTAAGGGACGGTATGGAAAACTGTGGTAATCACAGGACTTGTTTACAAATGGAAAAATATTTAAAATATGACAAAAATTAAAACTTGTACATACAATTATTTTGTCCTTCTTTTCTTCTTTGTTTCTTTGTGAGTTTAATGTTCAAATCCAGCTGTCTAAGTGACCACAACTTCTCCGTGCTTTTGTTGGTGAGGAGCAAATCCACTCTGCAGGAATCCACTGGACTTCTGCCTCTTCTACCTTCTTGAGGTCTGCCTTCAGCTCTCTGAACGCCACCGCGATATCGCCATTAACAATCACCTTGTCAAACAAGTGACCGCACTGCCTCTCCATGGTCTCAGCCAAGTCAATCATGTCCTCAAAATCCTCCTCCTGTGGCAAGAGAACACCTGGGTAAATGAAATCTAGTAACAGGATGCTACATTCAGCTCTATTCAGCTTTTCTTTTCGTTGTTTGAATTGTGTGGCCTTTGATTAACCATCAAGCAAAAGATGAAAAGAACCTGCATATTAAAGGAACACTTAAAAAGAACTGATTAATGATAATTTCATTGTTAATCTGACAAATATGGTTGATGGAATGCTAAAGCCTGGCCATATGGTGACAAAAAACATCTTTAGAGAAAGAGTTCTACAATAATCTGCACATACTGTAATGTAACAGGACATGGAACGGATCCCCATGACCACTCAACTACACGGACCGAGGCGTAACACATTGTTACGTGCTGAGAGTAAAGGATAAGAGGCCTTTTCACAAAAGCTGTAGTACGAGTTGAAAGCAGCACTATAAGATATGCTTGGACTACATAAGGGCTGTGGTGCTTGGCAATGGGCAACCTCCACCCAGGCTGCAACACAGGTGTGTGACCTTGTGGGTTTAATAAGGGCCAACATGGGCAGCTAGGGTCAAACAGTGAATGAGAAGCCAGATGGGGATTATGAAAGTGGCCTAGCATCTTTTAGTCATGTCTTAAAGACATCTACCATCAAACATATATGCTCCCACTTTGAGACAAGTGAACACAAACCAACCACAGCAACATAAAAAATGAATTCCGCCCTCTTTTAGTCATTATTTCAATCCATCTCATGCACACAAAAGATGTAACCCTTCATCTTCCGGACAAAATGTACTCACCTATACGTTATGGAACAAGAAGCCACCCACCAAGGAGCCCTGTACCTCCCCCTGTCTCTTAAACGTCTCTTAAACGCAAACCACAGGGTCAACCATGTGTAATGCAAGGTGTCCACATGAGTAAGGGAGAATTAAGGCCAGGAGGGTGTTTGACCTCACTCCGCCCTGCATGTTATAAGACATGGAACAAGCACCTGACTTTACACACATATACCTGATGTGTTTTGCGTGTTTATGTTATAGTGTCTCTTACTGAAAAGATCCTGACTGAGTTCTTGTCTTCTTCGTCACAGAGGAATTTAGCTCTCCGTCTGGTGAGGCGTAGCTCCTCTATACGTGGGGGCTTCACGAACACCACGTATGGTTTGAATTCAGATGTGTACACATGCTTAATTTTCTGTGGTGACAAAGACAGAACAGGAGGTTAGATGAAGGCAGAGAATTAAGTATTACTATATTTGTACAATAAGTTGTCTCAACACACAATAAAAGAACGAAAAAAGATTTCAGAAGATTGGCCTATTAGTTCAATCAGTCTTTGGCATGAAAACACAGAAAAATCCCTCTTGAGATCTACACATGGTGTGAGTCTACTAGTATTATTTCAAATGTGGCAGAGTGAACACTTGTAAGAGCTCTTCAACTAAATGTGAATCGTCTTAAATGTTGCAAATGACTATGGCAGTTCTGTGTAGATGATTAGTAAAATTGATTATTTAAATTATTGGTTTGAACCAAGATAAATTACTTTCCAAACTGTATGAATCATGTACAGGCAATAATGTGCAGCAGATTAACAGCCTAAAATGGAAATCACTTCATGTACCAGAGTACTTGTAACTGCTAATTCCCACTGTTGACTAATTGAAGACTGCTGCAGTATGTGCTTCTTCTGATACACATGGAGTCACCGGTCCCTCCTTGTTTGCAGGGACCTTCATTAGCAGGTTGTAACACGTGGATGTTCGTGTTAACCCTAACAAATCAGTAGCATGCGATCCCTCACTGGTTTCCCACAATGCAAACACTGCCAATGAAGTGTTTGATGGTGGGCGCCACTGCCAGGAATTAAACCCTGTAGTGGTCAAAAACAGGCCCTAGGAAACTTCATTTTTATTATTTAAACATCGACAGTCATTACTGAAAAGGCAACCGTCACAATTGTTTGTGTCAGTATGCAGCACCAGTTTAACCAGAGACAGAAAAAAAAATGTTGATGGTATAATACTCACACTAGGGTGCACATCCAGGAGGCACACCTTGCCCTCAGCCATCACTCTGTGCACAGAGTCTAGACTTGTTCCATAGTAGTGTCCATTGTATCTCCCATATTCTATAAACCTAGAAACAGGGACAGACACAGACAGGGCAGACAGTATAAAATAGTAATCAAACAGCACTAGAGATGGTGGACATCACTCTCATGGAAAGGGAGGGTAAATTGGACTATTTTTTAACACCATGGGAAAGGAAACCTCAGGAGGGACATCTGCATAGACAGTACCTATGATTGAGAATGTCCTCTTCAAACATGTGAATTGATACAAAGTGATAATCCACCCCTTCATTCTCCTGCCTTCTCTTCTCACGTGTGGTGTCTGAAAGAGAAGAGAACAGGAGGCTGACGACAGCTTGAAAAAGATGAGACGTGTGTGCAGGAGGTAAAGGTGATGTCTGTCTTACGCGGTACAGTGACGCCATAGTGGTCAGGGTCGGATATCAAGAGCCTCCTCTTTAGTTCATTAACGCCAACGCCGTTGGGCCCTGGAGACAAAGATCAAAACACTGTGTTTTGTACATGGGTATTCATATCAGTGTGTACTAATGTTTTCCTCACGACAAGTCCAACATCAAATAGGTTTAGTGATCTGGTGACACATCTGTGTTTATCATCAGAGAAGGAGAAGGGGAGTGAGCGAGTCAGACAGACAGAGCTCTGATTTCATACTGATTTCAGTCTGAAAATGATTCTCCAACCAGCCTCGCTCTGTGTCTTTCTATCGTACGCCAGAGGCTCCTATACCCTCTGGAAAATCCATAGCATCACATCTAAATGTGACATCTGCAAAGCCACACAGTATCGGTGTCATTATAGTGTAGGATGCACAGGATGAAGCACACACACATGCTGCAGCATCTGGGATTTTCTTCTAAAGCAGGTTTCTTCAGCCCCACATTGCATCAGACTCTAATGGAGCGCCGTCTCAAAGTAGGATTCCTGACATACCTGCCTTTTCCATCACAGCGTTGCATGAGCTCGATACATTACAAAATATCAAGTTTATAGACTCTCCACTCTTACACTGCTGATGTCTTTCACAGCTGCTGCACAGAACTGGAGAGGAGCATCATCAGGCTACTTTCTTCTGACCTTTTTTTTCAAGAGTTACATGATCTGTAGAGCTTAGAGTGGCTGGCAGTCACTTTCACCAACTTTCTCGGGGCATAACGGTCTATTGTTTCATTCAAAGTGCATTTGCAATGCAAACAAAAAAGGATATATTTCCAACCTGGTCAAACGTTATCCAGCTGGTGCTGTTTTTGTGATCCAGGTTTTGGTTTTCCTGTCTATAACTCTCATTGCCAATAAGCTATATATTCTTAATGATGACCTCCGGTCAATGAAGAGCCTTCACAGCAGACAGTAAAACGTAATCCAGAGTCGGGGTAAGCTCCAACTCAATTAAAGAGGTCTAAATCTAAATCCAAGCTGTCTTAACTGTTCTAGTTTGATGATGGAGCACTTGGCTGACATTATGAGGGATCTTATTCACAATCCACTCATCCTTTTCTCTCCATCCATCTATCATTTGTCTCTTCTCTAGCTGGTTTTGTTTTTGCACCTCTTCAGTTCATTGTGTTTCTCTCCTCTCTGCCTTTCAATTTTCTTTCTCTCATCTTCCATCTCTCCTCTTCTCTTCTTTCTTCGATTTCCCTCGGTCACAGATGACCTACAGTTGTATCGTAATATGACATTAAAAAGACCTTCAGTGGGGCTCAATGTAAGATTCCCTGGGGAGAGATATAGCTCAAAAATACATAGAGCAGGCCTGCAGGATTGGCAGAGAAGTGAATCTGGGGTGGGCCACTAGGTAACTTAAGAGAACACAATATATTCTAACTTGGACTTTTCTGACAGTGTTTACATGGGTCTGATGGGAAAGGATTGTTCTTGAACTCAAGAGTGGGAACATAAATCTTCATCAATGCATTACTTTTTCTTTTGATCAACAACAGCTTCAATAATATTGTCCTTTTAGTGAATGGGATCACGTTATTTAGATTTTTCTATATGGACAAAAAAAGCCAGTGGGATAATATAAAACAGAAGACAATGTGCATTACTGTACATATCACCAGACTGACTACAGTGTTATAAGCTTTATAACATGAGCTATATAGCAATGTTACAAACATGTACAAGCTTTTAGCATTGTGTTTCTTTCCAAACAAGAGAGGAACTTGCCCGTTTCTTTACACAGCTGTACGTTCAGCTCATACGTACCAACCAGAACGACCAGACGGTGTCTGTCCTTGGAGTCTTTGTGATAGGGCATCACCTCTATGTAGGTAGGGGGTCGAATTGAGCCGTGTACCCCTGTGCTCCACCTCCTGGAGCGGGCCACTTCTCTGGCCCAACTGCTCTTTCTCCCAAGTCGGAAACTCCTTCTTAAACCAGCTGGAAAAGAGAGAGAAAGTCCTCAGATCTGCGAGGTGTGTTTCTGAAAACCTAGCAGGAGGACGTCCTCACTATGACAGTCCTAAAACCTGCGTTAATTCATTTTTTGGCCACTTAAATACAGCACAACACAACACCTGGCACATTATTGGCTTATAAAGTTGGTATGGTGAATGTGTTAGGAAACAGTCCCCAACAAATTTACACATCCCAAAGAAGCAGAGAAACATTAGCAGTCATTTGGAGTCACATTTCTGTGTAAGTCTCAGTCATGTAAGTCTATTATATACTCTCTTTTTAGCCTCCACCAGTTCCTGAGGGAAATGTCTGACTCTAGCTAGTTGCTAACTTTCTCTGTCTGCCATTTTACCATGGGTAGGTAGCATACAGTGGGGCATACAGTTTTAAAGCTTTTTCTCTAATAACAGTTGCGTGCTATGGCTGAAAATTAGGTTGATGAGAACAGTTAACCAAAAAAGTTGTGGGCCATAAAACCAAAATAATAAGCTGAAAGAGGCTAAAGTGGTTTGTAGAGCTAGTGCAAAGTCAGGCAATATTCACTGTGGGTGATCAGTTTTACATTAAATGTAGTCATTTGAACCATTGCTAAAATTAAAATATTGATCTGTGCAGCTTTAAGAACAAACTAAGCTGGCATTTTTGAAATTTTTATTTTGGCAAGAACACTAAAACCAGGCCACGTTGATCCATCATGACGGTCCATTTGGTCCATTTTCCTGTTATTTAGCTTTATTACGACCACAATTTTGAGATAACTTGCACACCTTCACAAATTAATAAGCTCCATGGGCGTGTAAAGCTTGATTTACTCAAGACTTAATTTACTTCAGTGATTTACCATCCATTTAACATTGCTTTCCTTGGTGCACTACTTGGACTCCAGTTGATAAATAGGGCAAACACTAGAACTCTTAAGAACTGTTAAAAAGCACCAGTGATACTTAGATGACAACAAGGACCGCAGCAGAAGGCAGAGCTACAGTAGGAATGAGAGAGTACAGCACCATTTAACAAACCATTAACACTACCACCCAAACTCTGGTGTCAAGCACACCCTGAACAGCACAAATCTCCGTCAAGAGACAACAACTCAGTCAGTCACGCGCCGCTTGTAGGCTGTCTGACAGCCAGCGTCTGCCATGCGACTGTGGTCTAGCCTGGCTTGGCAGGCTCGCTCTTTTTCATGATGTTAACTGCTCCTAAGTGATGTTGCCAGGCTTTCTTTGACGTCAGCTGTAATTTCACTTTGTAAGCATATCTGTCCATTTCCTCTCCGGGCTTCATTCTAAGAAACATGGCACTATGAGTAGAAATTTCAAACTTTTGTTTACATGGAATTTAAACTGATGATTTCACTCAGAAATGTGAAGGGGTAATACTGTATGAACCAATGTTACACAGCAAAAGAGAAATCTTATTTCCTACAATGAAATAAGGTCTAGAGTGAAGCATTATGTAATTGTCAATCTTAAGTAATTCTGGCAGTGAAATTCTCATCTGTAATTGAAAATGCTCTCAGCCATAAAACCTTAGTTCTTTTTTGGAAATGCTACAAGACATTTATGCTTCACTAGACAGTATGAAGTAAGGGTGAGAGTAGAGATAAGACTGAGTAGAGAGTGATGACATGCAGCACATATACAATGTCAAGATTAAATGATATGAGCCACAACCGACAGTTTTCAGTATGAAGCATCATAAGTGAGTCCATTTAGGGTGCAAAAGTGGTATTTTATAATGCAGTCTTACCAAAATTGATAGCACTCTTATATTCATTAATTAAAGTCATATAGAGAGGGATTTTAATTAAATTCTTTTAAATTAGAAAGCAGAAAGTATTTCGAACAATGTCAAACTATTACTTGTAACCAGACAGATAACCACAGACAATATTAAAAAAACAGTCAGTGAAGATTCCTCTATGTACAAGCTGTTGGCCTGTTTTTCCCTTCTTCACCATGCCTTTACTGACTTTAATGACTCGTGTATCTACACATAGTTCTCCACTATTTCCCTTCTCTTTCACTCACTCTCTCCTCTGATTACTCTGCATGAAGTCATTTGGTCGTGCAGCATAAGGGCTTACATGCCAGACAAAGAGGAAACACAGAGTCTGAACCGCACGTCCTCAGGTGGAAGCTGGCCTGAGATAAGATGAAATGCAGATTATTAAATGCACATGACTCTTAAAACTGATATAATGCAACATCTGTAATTACCTTGCCTTGTACAGACGTAAAGGAGCCTTTTTACAATCAGCCTTGAGTGCACGCCCCATATGAGCATCCTGCACCGCTCATACTGTATGCACACACATTATATCAAGCACATCATATCCAATCCATGAGATCAAGACAAATGGGATAAATGGGAAGGCTAAAACCACATTTGCTGTTCCAGTCCTCTCCCACAAATCTCCAAACCACAAAACTACATCATCTATGAACTGGTTTGTTCTGAAAATATAACCAGGATCTCCTTCAGTTGCTGTTTTTTCTCCATCTAGTTTTAGTGCTAAGCTCAATATCTACTGTATAAAAGTAGATTGAGGTGCTTGTACTTTACTTCCATTTGATGCTTGCATTTATCTGATAACTTCAGTTACCAGTTACTTTACAGATTCTGATTAATAATGCAGAAATATATTGGGACATTGGGATATTCAACATACTTTTGGAATTTAAGTATATTTTCTGCAAATACTTTGGTACAGTTACTTAAAGGTCTAGTGTGTAACATTTTTCAGGATCTATTGGCAGAAATGGAATATAATACATAGGTATGTTTTCATTAGCATATGATCACATGAATGTAGGAATCAGGTCACCTTCCATAGAGTCGTCCATACTCCATCATATTTTGTAACCCAGGAAGGACAAACTAAACACTGGCACTAGAGAGGGGCATTTGTTTTTCATTATCATTGTAGTTTCTCCTTCGCACTAGGAAGAGGAGGGTGAAACAAGGGAGTTGCAACTCCCTGCAACTACACCGCTAATGCCACTAAATCCTACAAACTGGACCTTTGATGCATGGCTTTTATTTAAAATATAGTATGTCCACACTTGGGAGTACTTCTGCCACCGCTGACATTCAATATATGTCTGTTGTATTATCTTTCATCACACTGGTCCCTTTTCCAGTGTCAGTGGGATATGAGTGGAAAAAGTCAAACATCTCACCAATGTGGATCCCTGTTATAGCTCCGTAGTCTACATCCTCCACGACTGGAAAAACAGGAAGACAGAAGAGGAAAGAGTGAGGAAATGGTGGACGCTAACCACAAGGGGATGATATGTGCATTGCTCTGAAATTTTATACTCAAAATATTAGTGTATGTTCTGACCCAAATGTCCTAATATTTTGCTTTGGAAATTCTAATAATAGTTTTATTTAGAAATGATATCCACAATTTAGAAATATTAATAACTACCTTACTCTTACAAAGTGATTGCTCGTGAAAAACTAGCACATTACAGCAGGCCAGATACTTAAAACGTGCTTCGATACAACAAAGGAACATTTAACAGAATCCTCTCCATTTTGGAAATGTGGTACAGTGATCATTACATGATTATTATTTTTGGATAATTCACCCCTTTAAATCTTTAAAAACCCCAAACCAAGGCCTTAAGTATACATGTGTATCATATCATGTAAAATATGCTGAAGGTAGTTTTCAAGCAGTAAATTCAAACAGACAGTACCTTCCGCCTCATCTGTGGAGCATGTGGAGAAAACAAAAGCAGTGAGTACAACAGGAGGGCAGCAGAGCTCAACCATGACCATGACCTTGACCGTGAGCTTCAGACATGACCTGTCACCTCTCAGTTTCGCACTAAAAGGAACTCCAATATGTTTATTGGAAAGTGTTAAAAGGTTTTATTCTTTTCAGGTGTGGGGTTTTTATGGGTAAGCGTGGGCTCATCACCTGGTGGTTTGACCCGTCGAGGCTTGAACAGCGCTTTTGGTCGCTGTAGCGCAACTCTCCTGTGGAAAGCCAAATAAAACAAGGCTGAATCAAAAAAGGACTCCATTAAAAAGGCTTATAGATATGCTCTCAAGAGAGTCAACATTTTGCTATTGACTAAAAACCATAAAATGACAACCTCTCATGGAGCTGCTGCGAGGGGATGAGCCCTGCTCGGGTGCTGCTGTCCCCGAGGTGACAGGCCTGCCACCAGGTATCATCCTCCATGCTGACAACCTGGAGGACGTCGCCCCTTTTAAAGGCTACAGCTGCATCCTTGCACGGAACAGCGGGATCCTCGTCAGGATCATAGTCAAAAAGAGCCCTCAAAAACAGCTGAGGAAAGAAAATCATTTAATGTTTTTGCCTACAAAGACACAAACAGGTGACCAAGGAAAATACACATCTTATCCATTGATTCATTCTTCTCCTCTCCTACTGCAGCTTTGTGAACTTCCTCTGTATCCTGGCAGTGAACATCTTCGTCTCGGGCTTTTTCACATATGTTGGTGTCATTTTTGAGAAATGACCATGATCATAGAAAATAATTTGTCTTAATCCTTCACAAATGCTCCCTGCTCTAACAGTTTCCAGCTTGGACATCCACTCCATGTATGTGGTGGTAATGACCTAGAATTCTTCCTAAACAAAGAGGATTGTAGAACTTTTCCACATAAGGAGTGTATGGATTCATTGTTAATCTTAAATTGAGTTGATGCAGCTCAGCACATGTGATGAACGCTTAATCAAGTAAATTGTAGCGAAGTTAGCGAGTGTCTTATCCTTGACTGTCTGATTTGAATTTAGCTTTTGACAACGCACTGCTGTAGTGACAGCATTGTGGCAGAAACACAAAATATAACCAAACACACAAGATACCACTGATTTCATCTCTTTTTACTGAAACCAGGTGGGCAGCTTTCTCCGTGCAGCAGATTGCATGCTAACGTAAAGTACACACAGCACGGAATATGTGTTGTTAATATTTACTGTACCTTCTTCTTATTTGATGACATTTCTTCCTTAGAGGAGGCAGGAATGATTTTGAATCGAACTTCACCCTGAGAACGAGCCTGTGCAAGAACAGTTGCAAGACGCAGTTTATATTTTGGGGAAAATATTAAAACTTCTTATTTTCTTTCTTGCCGAGAGTTAAATGAGAAGGTTGATACTACTTTCATGTCTGTATGGTAAATATGAAGCTACACCCACCAGCCAATTAGCTTAGCTTAGCTTACCATAAAGACTGGAACCAGGGTGAAAATGAGTATTAGCTAGCTGTCTTCCCCTATTTCAGGTCTCCTGGCTGAAGCTTCATATTCTTTTACAGGGTAAGGCTGTTTTCTTCCTGTCAACAACCCCCCCCCAAAAAAAAGAAAAGAAAACAGATTCTACTAACAAGGACTGTCTGTGCAGCCCGAGCCTGATATATCCTCTGTCCCATAGAGCTCCATTGTTGTCCAAAACTATTTTAACAATCAATGATCCACGATGTGCACTGGGGGACATCATGAACAAGGGCACTGTAGTTAATTTCAAATCAATCCAAAATACACAATCCTGCTCCTGTACATGCTCAATAGTGCACCGAATATGTATTCTTCGACAGCAGGAAATAGTCCCAAACAAATGCACTATTTACTCTTGTTTGAGTAGCATTTGCTAAAAACTACAGTGCCCAGCTATTTTAGGAAATAACTTAGTGTATATATATATAGTGACCTGTTTTTAAAGTTTTAAGCCTTCAATACTAACATTAAGGTTTGGAGCTGAGAGCCACAGACATGATAGTGAAGTTGAAAGGTATTGGCTGAGGGACTGTTCTTCTGAAGAGATTTGTTGACAATAAAAAAAAACTATAGAACCATGCCAGCCTTATCCTATAAGCGACAACATTGAAAAAAAGAAAGGAAAAGCTGAGAGCAAGAGGAGAGAAGCAAACAGAAACATCCAACGAGGAGGTAAGACTAACCAGAAGAGAAAGGACTTCCTTCGGTTTCCTGTGCTCCAGTGGGACTCCATTCACCTCTTTCAGCTCATCTCCTTCGTGGATCAGGCCTTCAAAGTGTGGGAAATATATATGGAAATGTATACCACATGCTCCTCTTTGTAACATTTATATTTACTATGCATCATCAAAATAATACAACATAATGTAAAGATACAAGGAAATGCAGAGTGGACAAAACTGTAGAGTTTATCAACTTACCGCTTTTATCAGCTGCACCTCCTCTCATGATCCTCGCCACAACAATCGCCCCAGTGGATTTATCCCTCTTAATTGTTGCCCCCTTGAAGATGGTCATTAGTGAATGAAAGGTTGATGGACAAACAAAGGCAAAGAGGTCAAGCGGTGGACAGTAAAAATAACATGTTGATTTTATTACAGTCCAGACAAGATTATTATTTAGATTCACTTCATTCCAGGGAAGGTTATTTGTATCAGGACGGGACTATTTAGCCGGCTGCCTTCATGTAACACACAAAGCGCTGGAAAAGGTTATCCAAATCAGAATTATTTTCAACACATGTTATTGATGTGGAGCAAATCGCAATGGAAAGAGCATCTTATGTAGTTGACTACAATCAGCTCACACTCGGGTGTAACCCTGTTGTCTGGAAAACGGGAACATGCTGGATCGATCAAAGAGACCGTGTCAGAAAAAGGTCAGTCCGACTCCAATCTAGTTTTGGGATCAATACAAAAGTATGTTTTTTATTATTGGTCCTAAGCACATTCCCCCCTGAAAGCTCAACCACTAACACACAAGTATACACACACTGCAAAAACTGTCCATCATTAAGTAAATTATTCTTATATTTACCCCTAAAATCATATTTTCCTTTAGAAATTATTAAACTCCTCTCAGCCATAGGGGTTTATTTTTTTGGCTGCTGTTTGTTTATCTTTTAGTTAGAAGGATATATCAAAAAGTTGCTACATGGTAAAGTAAGGCCGCAGGCTAAGAAACAAATGCTTAATTTTTTTAAGTGCGTCCAGGAAATAGTTTTAAAGGAATTTTAACTTTGTGTGTGAGGGTGTTTTTGAACATTTCTGCTATTTTTTAATGAAATACTGGACCTACTTGAGTGGAAAGAAATCTGGCACGTGTACCCCTCAACTGTCCATCACCGTATGTACTTTATGGAGACCATGATCCAGATGCAGATCAAAAAAATCTGATTTTTTTATATTATTAAAATAACAAATTTAGAGGATTTTGTGGCCTTGGCAAAGCTTTGCGCTCTTTGTACTTTAATCCGTTTTCAGTCCAGTTTCACTTGATCCAGGAAATTTCCAGAAATAAGTGACAATGGCTTGGAACAAGGTGGACTAAGGCAGATAATTCCGGTAGTATCAAGAAAATGAGCTATGATTAAAGACCTTGAAACAAGTTGATTTACATCAGAAACAGAAGAGAAATTATCCCAATCCATTTTAATGCTCAATACGGCTGTTGTGCAGTTTTGCAGCGCATATACTGCACATTTACACATGTGTAAATAAGCACACACAAACACACACAACAATGCTGAAATAATGTTGTGCGTCACAGCAGATATATGGCAACAGAGATGTGGAAGAATTGACTCTGTAAATTCCTGTTTAGAGGAAAGTGAGCAGCAGGCCAGACACAAAGGGGATCCAAACTGCTGCAGGATTCCAGGGGCTGAAGTCCTGCTGCTACACCTTGGCATACGTGACTTTAGCAGTCACGGTGTTTGACAACATGACATAAATTCAGTCGCAGTTCCTGGGATATGTTTATTGCTTTGAGCTGCATGTGTATGTCAGATATTGTGGATGGACAAATTACAAATGTTTAAGTGCAGTCTCCCTGTTACATGGTTGTCAACAATGTTTATGTTGTAGAGCAAACTAAACTATTTCTGGGTCATCATGTGTAACAACTGAAGAAATGAGCTCTTTTCAGTGATAATTACAGTGCTGAAGTTTTTCTAACTGAGAGGTTATACTCCTGCTACGGCTTTTAAAGGAACAGTTAGAAACAGTGAGAAATATGGTTATTAGCTTTGTTGCCAAGAGTTACATGATAAGATTGATACCACGCTCATGTCTGTACAAATAAATATGCAGCTTTTGCCAGCAGGTGGTTATGTCAGCTTAACATAAAGATTTGAAACGCAGCTAGCATCCATCAAAGACAAAAAATCTGCTTATCGACAGCTCCAAAGATGACTAAATAAAATGTTATGTCTCATTCCAGTAGTATTGAGAACATGAAAAAAACAGAGACTGGCTACTGTTTCCCCCTGTTTCCAGTCTTTATGCTAAGCTAAGCTAATGGCCTGCTGGCTTTAGCTGCACATTCAGCCTATAGACATAAAAGTGGTACCATATCAATCTGCACTTTTTACCTTGACCTTTGAAACATGAAGGCCTGTTTACTGACCAGGGGCTCTTTGGTTTTGACCAGACTGACAATTTTGACTGAGTCCTCCTCCTCCTCCAGTACGTCATCAGGTATTGGTGGCAGAGTAGGCTCAAAGTCTCTCTGAGCTACAGCGTCATGAACCGACAGGAGACTCTGTAGAGGAAACAGGAATGCAGTGAAGCTGCCGATCTGCATTCAGGTAAGTCACTTGAATTCTAGCTGCTGTAAACAGATGTGGCATTGGTTAGTCTCCTCTAATAAGTCTCACTTTTTATAGATAAAAAGGCACTGTCTGAGGCCAGCAGTACACTCCGAACACAATGGAAATTGGCTAGGTTGGCTGTCAAGCTGCTGTCGAATTTGGCATTGTGAACAAAGGCCAGCATAATCATTGCAAAAATGTGTTCATTTGATGGCATCCATTTTTGGATGAAAGCATATCTGAAGAACCACTGTCACCAGTTTAACCAGTGCAGGTTTAGACCAACATTTATAGACTAAGTAGTTATGCTAGTGATATCCAAATGTAATTGTAAGGTTAAAAGCTACTCAAACAAAAATGCAACCAATCCCTGTTGACTAATTAAAGGTGACTGGGTGGTGAATGAGACTGTGAAAAAATTCCAGCGAGTTTGGCTGGCCTGTCTGCACTCACTACAGTGACTGAATCCAAACACAGCACTTTCTTCTTGGTTGCAAAACTTAAGTTCTGCCCGTGCCAACATGCCAACTTTTATTTAGTTTGGAATGAACCGCCAGCCTGTGGGCCACCTGAAAGCAACCCCCCACACTACCAACAGTGCCTCTGCCTGCAGCCATACTGGCTCAGCTCAAACATGACACAAACTCCTTTTCCAATACAGGACTGTGAAATGATATATGAGTCACTATCAATGCCCAGACAGTTCATTTAAGTTCATTCTTTGTTAACTTTGGCAGTGTGAAAACTCCAGGTTTGTTTGCAGAAAATAATATATTATATATATAATATATAATATTCTGGATAAACGTTAATCTCTCACTGTGAGCCTGCACAAAGTATAATTCCAAAAAAAGGGAATTTTCTGTAATAAGAAAGAATGAGAAGAGGGGGAAAACATCTGCTCATCAACTCAATTTTAACAATCAGCCAATCCATCTGTCAGTTAGTCTACTTGTTATACCCCGTGTCCATCAGCAGTTGCTCTGCTCAGAAGCTGCCAACATGTGAGCAATGTGTCTCTGGCCACTTTCAGAGACAGGTTTTCAAAAAACAAACATTCATTTACAGAATATTATACCTTGAGTCTCTCGTAAGTATGTGTGAGCTCCTGCGTTAGGGCCAAGAACAAACAGGTCATTAAGACTGTTTAAACAAACCCGTTAGTTCTCGGCTGGCCTCAGCTCCTCATTAAGGAAAGCCACGACTTCTACAGCTCACTGGAAAACCAAACGCTGTGTGTGTGTGTCTGAAATATTGCTGTCAGCAGATCTAAAATAAGGAAACATGCATTTGAGTAGTCTGGGTCCCTATGTGAGTGAACACTAATAAACATAACTAGGGAGTAGATTAGCTTCAATGCCAGTGTGGTTAATAGATGTCAGCACCTCTCAGTGGGCAGAATGATGAGGTGAAATCAATTTGAATAAAATTTACAGTTGGATTAATTTGTCAATTTGTGTGACCCACATAAGAGCAGAATGTAGGAAACAAAATACTACACGCCTTTTGATGTGCATGCAAGTGTTCAGTCTCCTGAAAAGCATCAGAATAGCTCAGATGAAGCATGACTGCATGGAAATTAATTTATCAGATTACAGTTATGGTGTTAGCTATGTTAAGAAAAAAGACTGAACATGTAACCACACCATTCATGAGTAGGTTTCTTTTATTTTTAATGATCCATTGTGGCACTGAAGTAGAAGGAAGCAAAACATCATCTTCTGAGTGAATTACAGTCTTGCTTCATAAATGGTCCATGTGAGTGGCAATTACAGGATGCGCTTCAGTGATAGAAAACTCAACTCTTGCACAGTTTGAGGCATGTTTATGTGTGTGTGTGCAGTACTACAGAGATTGAGAAGACGCTTGAGGGAATTGTTCAACATGTTGGGAAATACATGTATTTGCTTTCTTGCCCAGAGTTTGATAAAAAGAGCAATACACGCTTATGTTAGATTAAATAGAATAAAGACAGGAAACAGGGTGGAACATTAGTCTGGCACTGTTGAAATATAATAATATCTGCCTTTTGGCACCTCTAAACTCCACTAATTAACATCTGACGTGTTTAATTCATACAAAAACCAAAGTGTGAAATTTACAAATTGTGGTTTCTTCCCTGTTTTTTTTTTTACTTGTTGACAGTGCTAAGCTAGCTGTTTCTGTGTGCTCTGAATCCTTGAGCTAAATGAAATGGTTCCCTGGCTGTAGTTTCATATTTAATGATTACATGAGAGAAGTATCGACCTTCTCGTCCAACTCTCAGCAAGTGAGTATTTTGTCTTTTTGCCCCTGAAAAGCCAGGCTTGTTCCTTCCCTCTATTTCTAGTCTTAGTGCTAAGCTAAGCTAAGTGTCTGCTGGTTGTAGCTTCATATTTTTCATACAGGTCGAGAGTGGTATCAATCTTCTCTGGTAACTCTGGGCAAGAAAGCAAACGTGTATTTGCCAAAATGTTTTTTTAATGTTCTTTGAGCAGTGTATTCTTTTGGTAGAAATGATGTGATTTGACTGGTCAAAGGACCTGGCTGGTGGAGTTTTAGATTGACACACATGTGTGAAGTTACAGGAACACATCACCATGGAAAGAAATACTCTTCACCTTAAAGTGGGGTTTGGAAAAGAGGGCAACCAGTTCTTTGACTTCATCGCTCCAGCCTTGGTATATCAGCTCCTCTGCCAACTGGAAGCAGAGAAAAAGACAAGGAGAAGCAGGATATATTTTTTATAATTAGAGGTATGCATTTATATCATAGCCTGGGTGAGTTTTACTGTAGTCTATGCTGTACTAGCCAAGAGAGACAGAGAAATGAGCAGATAGATGGAATTTAACTGCAGTGACACATCATCAGTACTGTCCTCATTTCTGCACGTTCATACGACGCTTTGCTTTTCTCTTCTTGATGTTAACTATTTGTCTGTGTTCCTGTTTTGGTTTGTGTCTTTTAGCCACTGTTGGAAAAAAGCTCCCGAATGTTCAAGGCTACACGACAGCTGCGGCGACAGCTAAAACAGAACAGCCTTGACCGTCAGCAGCAAGTGGAGAGGCGGAGAGTGACTGTGTGCAGTCGCCCGTCTTGTCAAGCATATTACTGTAATGACTTCTACTGCTTCAAGATGTCGAGGCACACTCCAGAGACACAATGCATGAAGGTCATTAGTTTCCACTGTGAGCAAACAGAAGCCTCTCTGAGGGGAAACAGACCCACGGTTTGGCCCTTCCAGTAGGTCCTGATGATTTAAGCCAGGCAGAGAGTGGCTGTCGAACCGAATCTGAAGCAAAGGGAGTGAAGGGAAGGAGATGGAGAGGAGTGTGGGGGAGAGGATAGGGCTAGATAGGCAGTATGGAAACATGGCAGGAATTACAATATGTAGGGTATACAGCAGGGACAAGATCAAGGAAAGCAAATGGAGAGAAAGGGGAAGAATAGAGATAATGGAAGGAGAGTGTGGTTTGGGGATGGAGAGAAGAAAAGATGGAAGCATAGAGTAAGGGAAAAGTGTAAAAAGAACATCCTTGTAAGGCACAAGAGGGGAAAAATCAGGAAATGAAGGTGGAACGCGATCAAAATGGTACAAAAAGGATAGTGGGATGAAATGGAAATATAGGAATGATGGGTTGGTAACAGGAATGAAGAGGACTGGTATATATAATATGATGCACATCTGAAGAGAATAGAGACTGGTTGTGCTGTTTTGAGTCACAACCGTAGTGGGAGTGCTCTCTGTCACTTCATCTTAAATCTGAAATTAATTGTATTCCTCCAACACGAAACATTAAACTACACACAAAATGATTTTAGCAGCCTTTCACTGTCTTCAGTGACCTAACTCCTGGCATACAGATACAAAATGATATCTGCTGTCAAACAGCTTTTCAGACGCTAATATCCAAGGTGACAGAGTTTTGAGATAACATTTCATAATTCAGTGCTCATAGGAAGGAATGTACGTTCCACTCGTGCTCCTGTGTGACAGGAAAGTCATCTGTATATCAGAGGGAACAATTTGAACGATGAAAAACCTTCCCTGCTCCCTCTGCTGTCAAACTGCCATCCTCGGCAGCGTGTCTATCTGCAAAAGATGTTTGAGGAGAGACGCTTACGTCTAAGGCCAGACTCGCTGCATGCTCTTGGACGGGGATGGGGCTTCGCTTCTCAAAACGCTTCAGTCGCTCGTGGATCTGTCAGGAAAAGTATCACAATAAAGGTTTCCTCTGCAGTAAAATACACTTACTGCAACTTCTACTGTTAGTACTAATCCAAATTTCCACAATAGGGGATTAATAAAGTATAAATCTTCTATCTTCTTCTTCTTCTTCTTCTTCTCAATTAGTAAATGTTAAAATTTAAAGCATTCACAATCAGTTTAAGTGAAACTGAATTTTCCAAGTACTTTACTACTTTAAGTTCATTCATTACATTGTTATTTTCTTTACTTGTACTTGACTTACTAGTTACTAAACATTTTAACATTTTCCACACTAAGTCTACCACCATCTTAAATAAAATTGTTTCATATTATTAATAAATCTTAAATGAATAAAATATGATACATTGGTTTATTATTATTATTATTATTATTATTATTATAATATATAATAATCTAACACTGACAGGAACCATACCATTCTTCCTATATAGTACTACATAGAACATGTAGGATATTGTTACTTTTGAGAATTTAAGTATTTTTCCTGATAATACTTCTGTACTTTTACTTAAGTAACAATTCAAAGGTAGGACTACCTGTAGTGGAGTATTTTTATACTAGTATTACTACTAAAAAAAATAGAGTATTTAAACCACCTCTGTGTTTTAACAGCTCCTATACGCAGACAAAAAGCTCTTAACAAAGCTTTAAAAAACAGATGCTGCAACCGAAATGAGTCACTGTAACACAGGTGTGTCTTCACCTTAAAGAGCAGGTGAAGCTTCTTCTCCATCAGCATGCTGTGGAGGAACCTGTAGTCCTCCTCTCTGTCTGTATGAGACTCTGTTCCAGACATCACTGATGAAAGCAGCCTGCACACGCCTGCAGGAGGAGGAGCACAACACGCCCACACATTCACACACACATTCACACACACACACACACACACACACACACACACACACACACGTCAATAAGCACTCCGCCTGCACCTGTTATTAATTTACAGTACCTGTTTTGAATGTTATGAGGTGAGGTCAAGAACCCAAAGAGAGAGGTCAAATGTTAAATGGACGGTGTGATGCTTTTAAAAGATTCACTGCTTTTATTTTCCAGTTATGCACATGAGTATTTTATCTATAAAGGCAGGGTAAGTGAGTTGAAAAGAACACTAATGTGTTAACCTGCTACACTTTGGACATACCTCTGTGTTCTGTTCGGCTCAGCATCCTCCTCACTCTGAGAGAAGAACAGAAAAATTCAACAAATATTAAAACCCTTATATTCATATTCAGTTAGTTGCTCCAGATTTTCCTTGTTTCTATCAGCCAAGATGGAAACTGGACTGTGACAGAAAAAGAGAAATTGTTAGAGAAAGGAAAGAAAGCTCTTTTTTTTGGGGGGGGGGTTTCTCACATGGTATGTAAAAGATGCTTCTTATGAGATATTACTGCCCCCTAATGTTGGTATAAGATATTTCAACAGTACAGTAATACACTGTTCCACTAACCACACAGCTATGTCAATAACTTATTAAATCAGTCATTATTATTTTTTTTATGACATTAAACTTGATATTACCTAAAATAACCTCAAACAAAAGATGAAAACAAAACTCACAGTACTGGATGTCCTCTGTTCAAATTAATTCATGTTTACTTTCTCTCATATTGGGATTTGGATTCATTTAAGATAATTTAACTATGATAAACAAATCTTGAGGATCGGTTCAACAGAAATGCACTCGTTAGATAACAGAATTTAGGCCTGTAAAGAAATATATTCCAGTATCCCTCAATCAGCATGGCTGGAGAAACACAATAGCCACACAATATTTTAAGATGATAATAAATGAAAATATTTTGCAAAAAAATTAACAAGTTTGAACCTACTCTGAGTTACAGATTAAGAGCGTTATACACATGTTTATGTCCATACCAACACATCTTAAGTCGAGGAAATCAGCACAACCTAGCAGAACTTAAACTGCACTCACCAGAGACTGTCCACTCCATTAGGCCCAGTTCAGGCAGGCCATAGCGCTTAATATCTAAAGAGTATGAGCTGCATTTGAACATCCACTTGTAGAGAGAGGCTGTATAGTGTTCGACTGGCCGGATTGTAAAAGAGCCAGTCTCTTATCTAGTCAATATGTGTCAGGTCTGACCTAAATCATGCCAGCGGGAAATCAATACAGCAATCAAAGAGCATGGGGCGTTCACTTCCCACATATGACTGTGAGTGCATCCACACTGATTTTAACTAAAGCTGAGGTCAGTTGCATATTCCAGTGCTCTTTTTATTTTATTTTTCTTCTGTACAAAATACCAATTTCACACCTCTCTCTCTGGGCTCACAATACATGGGTGTTCAAGGTTTTAAGGTAACAAGACCAAGGTATGTATTAAGGGGAGTGCATCAACCTCAACAATCACAGGAGGGGTGATTTTGGGTGATGCATGTCCCAGTATAAATCCAATTACCCCGATTCATTGGGTTCAAGTCTATATATGGGGCATGAGCCAGTGCAGGGCAATGAATACTTATCCAGTACAGAAACTGCTCTGACTATCACCCTGACCTCTGACCTCTCTGTGGGGGAGGCTAACCGAGAATTTACATTAATGGGACCACAATATATGGGCTAGTGTCGAATAAAGACAGAAATATAAGAAATGTTATGCTCACACTGACCAGAGAACCAGAGTTACTTTAACATTAGTTACAGCCTCTTTATACACAAACCACAAACCAATGAAAGTCTCCAGGAGAAAAAGGTAGTACTGTTCAAGGAGGGCAAAGTCTCTCTGGTATTATTGTGTAAAGACAACAGACAAGACTAGCCGACAGACCGTGGGTGTGTCCCAGAAAATGGCCAGCCAACGAGATGTGAACTCGTAGGAGGAGTCCACAGCACCATCTAGCTTCGTTTTCAGCTGCGTCACGTTATCCAGAGACAGCTAGGCTAATACCGGAAATGAAGCTACTTATTTCAAAATAAGAGCGCAATCTTTGTTGAAACTGCCACAGTGGGAAGAAAATATCTCACATTGGTTTTTATAACGAGGGCGTGTAGTTTGTATCGTTCTGCTTGGACATGATAAAGGGATATTGCTATAAAATGAGAAAAAAAAAAATTTAATAACGGCAAGTCTGGTTGCCACTTCTTCCTACATTTCAGGATAAATATGCTGTTTTTTTTATTTAAAAAACAAACATATTTTCGTTCTTTATTCGTTATAACACAAATTATGTGTGAATTTAACGTAAAATATGACTTGATATAATCTGCGTACAAGGAAGTTTCCTTAATTAGAAACCTCTTGTCATATCTAGTATTATTTTCTCACGATATGAGGAGTATACCGTATTTTCCAACGATGACAGCTCTACTCAATAATACTTTGGCCTACCCGACACAGGTACAAGATGCTTATCATTTTAAACTGTGGCAATGTTATAGCGGATTTTCCTTATTTTTGTCTATTTTGTCCTGAGTTTGACTGTAACATTACGAGTATGTATAGTCGCTACAAAGATAAAACAACAAGTTAACGAACAAATGATTTACTAAATTTAGCATATTCGATAGTTGCACTTATATTTTGAAAGGTGACACCGGAAATCCATTTTCTAGCTAAACATTACCGATAAGTCCGTCTCTCCGTTTCCTCCTGACTGCTGCTTTTCTCTTAGCTAGATCGGCCAAGCCAAGCGCCTACCGTAACTACATGCCAGATGATGCACTGAGGGTGGTTTTTAATAAAGACCACCCGCTATGCAGTGCTGGTGCTCGGTGCACGGCTTGTAGGTACCAGTTTGGCCGGATAGAGAGAGTGTAGATATCAGGAAGCTGAAGAAAAGAGAACTGTGAGAGCAGACAGACAGGAGGCCACGGTTCCCCCTCACACACATACATACATCACCACGGCCTTGATGGTGATGTATGCAAGGAAACCAACAAGAGTCAGCGATGGGTAAATCAAGCACACACGTTAACATTTAACAAACAATGGTTAGGGTTTACGCGTTTTTTTTTTTTTTTAATATTCGTAGGTTGGTTGTTCGTGTTTGCGTGTATCCGTTTAGCTATCAGTGCTATCAGCTAGCGTTAACTGTTTGCCTGCAATTAGCTGTTTCCTATAACTTGGCTAATCGACTGACGTTACCTTAAAACTAGCTCACTAACGTGTACATGAATAAAGGGCGACTTATGTACGATATATCTTAAACATTATCGGTTATTTTCTACCGGTGACATGATGAGCAAACAGCTGTTGCTAAGGTGGCGAATCGAGCTAACTTGGCTAACGGCAGCTAATTAGCTAAATATGTTAAAAGTGTGTTGTTAAGCTTAGAAACCTAACCTGACCGTTAAAGAGCTAACTGTCTAATAATATCGGGGTTTTTTAATGTGTCTTCACAGGTGCAACGACAGAAGGGATTCACAATCCTATCAGGTAAGTTATGATATATTCAGTTTGTTATCAGTCTCCTGTCAATACTCTCCACTAACGTAACGTTAGCTAATGAAGGTGTAATACAGTATTCTTCCATTAAAATACTCAACTCAAATGTCCATAGTGTGATTGAGGAGATGCCTTCCATACTCAGAATTAGCAGTGTTTTCAAATCTGTTCTGTGAGGCAGATCTCACTAACCCAGCCCCAGTTGAACTTCCAATAACATTGGCGCTTAAAGATACTGTGGAACTATAGAAACCATAACATTTCTTATTTACATTAATCCACATGGCTGCTACACAACTTTCCATAGGACATACTGCTGTGGCACTTTGTAATGTCCTTATGAAGCTTGCTACATTTTATACTTAAATTCAATACATTAGTGCATCAGTGTAGTGCCTCCAAATACTGTTGTTACTAGCTTTTAAATGGCTACATTCAGTAAATGTAAGGCAGGAAAGATTGGCTGTACACTCAAATTGTAATATTCATTGCAAAAAAGGCACATCTCACACTGGTAATATTTATTTAAACAAAATTTGGAAAATATTAGAAAAACTAGCCAGCCACAGTTATGGAGTTTATATAAAACAGAATCCATATGTGTAATGATACAGTTCAATTCTTCAGTTTAGAATACAATTTACTACAAAATGATAAAACAAATGGCCTCACAAAAATGTAAAACAAATGTAATAGATTGAGCAAACCCTTGCCTTTGAATAAGCTATTTTAATGCTAAAGCTAATATACTATGGAACAGATATGTTTCTTTTGGAAGCAAAAATGTATGACAATATCTAGAAGAAGCAAAACATCTCATGCTCCATGAGTCAAAATATTCTGTGTTTCATTCAACCACTCCCACACTGAGCTGGAATTTATTTATTTTTGAAGTTATCAGTTCTGTTTTCACTGTGTTATTCATCTCAGTGGTGTTGCACTTAATCATTGAAGCTTGCTTAATGCGCTATTTTCCAGAAAATGTAATGATGGTATGAGCTGCGTGGAGAAAATGACATCAGTGTAACCTTGAGCACATCCACATCCAAGTCTTTCGTGCTTTATTCAATCTAGACCCATAAATCTCAGCCAAAGAGCCAGTCCAGCAGCCTTCACCGTTACGACAAGGTGCGTGATGGCTCATCGGACCCTACGCCCCCTTACAAGATGCTGCGACGCTCGGACGAAAGTCCTGTCAGTAGACATGGAGACGGCGCAGGACATGGCAAGGCAAAAACCTCTCACACAGTTAGAGGGAAAAATGGTAAGCCTGGTTTTAGTGGTCTTACACATGCATGCAATCTTAAGTTCTATCTTAAAGGGTTGTTATAAATGAAAAAGGTAGCATCTCGTTCCTGCATTAACCTCTGACACATAGAAAATGCCAGATGCTTGTGGCTGCAGGCAAACTAACAGCGCTCAGCCTCAGCTTATTGTGAGTGATGCTGTTAAATGACATACAGAGTCATCTGATGGATATCAATGTCTCCACGGTTAATTTTAGCATTCTTCTTTTGTTTGATCTCTGACATAAAATTCAGTCATGTATGCACGCCAATCCATGTCACTTTTGAGTGCGTGCAGAGTTTGATGAAAAGCAAAACATTAACATAGAAACTGTCATGGAAAGAAAGATGGAAAGATTTAGATTATTTTGCCATCTCACTGCCTTCAGATCACAATATAGCCATTACTGCTCAAATGTAATTAAAGCCAACCTAAAACAGCCACAACCAAAGTGTTTCTCATTTGGCAGGTGAGGATTAGGGATGGGGATCGTTCATTTTTATTGGTATTGATACCATTTTCGAGAGTGCTTAACGATCCGGGTCTTCATCGATACCACTATCAATACTTTTCTGTTAATTTGGTGGAAAGACGAGACGACAATACATTCTTCACAGAACTCTGATTGCTTTTATTGCTTAATAGCATTTGCCAGACAATTGAATTGAACTGATAAACTTTATTAGACAGCCGATGTATGTTTGTGCATCTGTGATTTGATTGAAATGACATGATTCATCTCTCGAGCTGAAGCTATCGATTAACTAAATAATCAAGTGTTCTATTCATTATTTCATCATTTAATCAGATTAAGAATTACCTTTGCTTTGTTAAAGCAATAGTAAATATAAAGTAGAGAAAATACATACATTTACACTAGTTTCAGAGACCCCCACTGTACCTGTTTTAGTACTTTTACTTAAGTTAGGGCTGCTCGATTATGTAAAAAATCATGATCACGATTATTTGGGTCAAAATTGAAATCATGATTATTCAAACGATAATTTTTTTTTAAACTTACCTGTTCAAACGAAAACAACGTGACAGGAGAAGACTGCAACTAGTGTCGCGACCACCGGCGCAAGTATAAATAGTTACGACACTCCCGTGACTTCACATTGTCGCGCGACAGGTCGGGAACGGCGAGTATACCGAGCGCATGATGTGCAGTGCGTGCTGCGGGGGAGGGACGGAAATAAGGAAATAAGCACGAGCGAAATACACAGACTGTGGCTGTGTCCCAATTCAGGGGCTCAGCTTTTTTCTATACAACGTTGCACAACAGAAAATGAAAAAAAAAATCGTTTCCCTCCGATTTTATTAGTTTTGAGATCGTTTGGCCCCAAAATTGTAATCATGATCAAATTTCGATTAATTGGGCAGCCTTAACTTAAGTAAAGGATCTGATCCTTCCTACACCCACAGCCTAACTGCAGCCGAGCCTTCCACTGTAAGGAAGGTGGCCTTGTGGGTAACGTGCCGGTTTCTTGTAGGAAGTGAGTCTTTTCCGGTGTGTAAGGGATAGTTACGTTC